GTGCACCCCGTCCCCCTCCGCCCCGACCGCTGTATTTCGGCGTCGCACCGCCCCCAGCGCCCCGTTCCTCCCGCCCCACCTCCTCCCCAGCCGCCCAGTGCCCTCTGCACCCCGCCCACCTCCGCCCCGACCAGTTTATTTCGGCGTCGCACCGCCCCCAACGCCCCCCCCTCCCGCCCCTTCACCCACCCACCCGCACCAACCACCACCACCACCACCAGCGTGAACCCTTTTCGCCCCGATCAGTTTACTTCGGCCTCGCACCCCCCCCCGTCCAGTGCCCTGTCCACCCCACCCCCCCTCGGCCCATTGAATCGTTTCGCTCATTCCGCTGGCCCGTGTTGTGCCATAGGAGGCATTTTGGGTCCAAACTTGGTTGTGGACACGATGTTTCTCTCGAAGGCTGCTCGCGGGGGCATTAGGGGGGGGCCTCCTGGGGCCGCTCGGGGGCCTCTTGGGGGCGTCTTGGGGGCCTCCTGAGGGCTCTTGGGGGCCTCTTAGGGGCCTCTTGGGGCTTCCTGGGGGCCTCTCAGGACCGATGGCTCGAAATGTTGTTTCGTGCTCCCCCTCTGAGGCCGCTCTTGGGGCGCTCTAGGGGCTCTCTTGGGCCGTCTTGGAGGCCTCTTGGGCCGTCTTGGGGCCCTCTTGGGGGCCTTTTGGGCCCTCTTGGGGCGATGTTGGGGGCCTCTTGGGCCCTCTTGGGGCGTCGGGAAGCCAAAAAGGTGGAAACACGAACATCTGTCCAAAATCTAAGGAAAAGCAATGAATGTTGCATATTGGGGCCCTCTTGAAAGTGCTCTTGGAGTCCTCTTGGGGCGTCTGGTATGGGCCATCTTGGGCGTCTTGGAGCGATCTTGTGGCATCTTCGAGCCCTCTTGTATCATCTTGGGGGCCTCTTGGAGGCCTCTTAACCCCTCTTGGGGCTCTCTGGAGGGTCTCAAGGGCGACGCCCAGACGGAAAATCATCTCTGATCCGACCCTCCCAGGACCTTGCCGGGGTACTTTTCCTCTGGGGACCCCTAGGGGCCGCCCCCCGCGCGCGAAGTACAAATATTGTAAAGCAGTTACTGGAGATCTTAGCACGCCTCTGACCCGTTGGGCTGGCGAATTTCGGCGTCGCACCGCCCCCACCGCCCCCCCCCCTCCCCAGCCGCCCAGTGACCTCTGCACCCCGCCCCCCTCCGCCCCGACCACTTTATTTTGGCATCGCACCGCCCCCTCCCAGCCCGCCCCCTCGCCCATGTTTCCTCGAGTTCGCCCTCTGACGCCCTTCTCGGTGCCCTCTGTGGGCAGTCCTTCTCCGATTTCTCATCCCTTCTTTCCCCCTCCTCCACCTCCTCCTCCTCCTCATCATCCTCCTCATCCTCCTCTTTCCCCTTCCCTTCAGTGCAAGAACCATGGCACGCGTGCCACGTGTAATCAGTTTTCTGGTACAACACGTATGCGACGGACGAACCGTAGACGGAGAATTCGCAAAGTCTGAATGGCACACGGGTGCCGTGCGCAGCGATTGTTGTCCAATGTAGTTCCACCAATTCTCCAGCAACCAGCGAGCAGCTGCAAGGGCACTCCGTCGTATCACCATGACGATGTCATCGACCAACCTGCAGTAAAGCAGACGTTGTGCGCCGAAAGCTGTATTTAATGCTGCATCCAACACGTGAAGAATCAAGTTGGCAATTAACACGCCGCACGAGAGCCTTGTTGCTATGCCCGTGTAAAAAGTGCTGCCGACCTTCACAGTCTGATTGGAGAGGGCAAGATGGAGGAGGGTGACGATGAATGATGCTTTTTGACACCCAAATGTATGCCCACTGCGTGTTTGATGAGTTTTTGCAAACCATCGTGCTCGATGCTCGGGTACAGCTCTTTCACGTCGGAAGGGGCGATCACGTAAAGGTCATCTTCTCCCGAGTCGATAGTGGTGTTGCCGACGTGCGGGCATACGTCGTCATTGCTGGCCACGACGTAGCTGCACACGCGTTCATGGACTGCTTTCAGTGCGTCACACAATCAAGCAGACGCCGTCTCCAGCCAGTAATTCGTCGTTATGCGTTCCATTGGTCGTGCTTCCACACGCGTCTTGTAGATCTTCGGGCGTATCCCAAAAGTCCCAGAATCTGTGGAGAGAGGACGCACCGAAGAAGCTGTAGCATGGCCCTCGGCTCCATGCAATACTCCCCGCGACAGCTTCCAAGAGACACAGGAAATGGTCGTGAACCTAGCGGCACCTAGTGGTGTAGCCCGCTTCAGGCAGCGGTTGGAGAGAACGGTATACGTAAGAGATCGTGGCAGGTTTTTGTTGACCCATTCTCTGTGGAACAATGCATCGCCGAGATTTGTGCCGGTGTCGCAAGTCACAAACAGATGCTGGTGGACCCTTGTCCAACCCAATGCGCTCTTGTCAAAATAATCAAAAGTACGCGTATGATTAAGCTGGATGCAGCGATGCAAATCGTGGCCGAGAAGACGTAGCTACGAGGAAACACTGGGGTCTTTGGTGGTTGTCCTGACGATGACATTGACGATGTTCTGTGCTGTTGCTGTCTGTCTTCTGCTTCCGCCTGCCTGCTGAAGGAATTCGCAATTCGCAGGGACCGCGAAAAAAGAGTAAGAGAAGCGTGCAGGTCGTGAAGGCCTGGGGCGCGGCTGTCCTGTAATGACTTGCCGCCCTTGCCGAGGAAGGCCATGGCAAGCGGCGGTACCTGGACTTTTGCACGGAAATTCTGCACATGCACCTGCTCTGGCCGTCGCTGTAATGACGACCACGGTAAGCGATGGAGCTCTAAAAGCACCAATTTAATGCAATTCATTTCCGTCCGAGCTGCGTCTGCCCAAAAGCTGTGTCTGACCCGCCCCTGGTGTGAGTCGCACTTGCGGCGCGGGGTGTGCTTGCGCGCTCGGGCGCCAGTGGGAGCAGGTGTCCTGTGTCCGCAGTCCCCTTTCCGTTTGTCCTTGCCCTTGCTTTTCCCCTTGCCCTTGCCGTGGTCTGAGCCTCGACTAGCACCGTGCCTGCTTGCCGAAGGCTGTCGCGCCAGCGCCCTCGATGCCTGGCGCTGCGGTTTCCACGACTTGACCGTCGCCCACGACTTCACTGATGCCATTCTCTTCGATGCGCTCCTCTGGGAGCCCTGGGAAGAACGCACTGAAACGGACGACCTCCGAGACCTGGCGATCGTCGATCGCCTTGTTGCGGATTTGGAGCTCTGCCTTGACGTCGGCCTTGTCAGCTTGGTCCTCGAAGCCGAAGCCTGGACCTGTGAAATGTTGATCTTGAAATCGGCCGATGTGCGGGTCATCTCTGAGGAGGTGGGCGATGGCATGGTTGTTCTGAATAGTAGCGGATGTGTGGTTCTGTTTTGCGCGAACTGGCATTTGTTGCGCAAAGCCGCCCCGTTCAAGATCTTGCTGTGCGAGGAAGGTGGCGTCGAAGACGCCGGGCCATTGGGAGTCAAGGGCCGCGAGGGCTGTCAGCGCCTTGTTGAAGATTCTGGCCATCTTCGCGTTCGCCTCGAGCAGGACCTCGCCGCGTTTCTCCTTGTTAGCCTTCGGCTTTGTAGCCTCGACATGGCTTTCGGCACCTCTGTGCGCAGAGAAACCCCAGCGAATGCCTGCACTTTGTCTGCCAGTTGCTGCTTGGCATGGACCTTCATTATAGATGTCAGTGTGTAGAGAGAGCCAAGTAGAGAACCTGTCCACGCGTGCCATCAGAGCCTCGGAACCTGCTGACTGAGCAATCGTCTGTGCCTCTTGCTCTTGGTGTCGAACTACGAACTGCTGGCATTCACGGGCGTGCCGCTTGCGCATCGCGCGCCAGTTGGCTGACACGTCGTAGGCGTTCCTGGCGGCAATGGCGGCGTCGTCCGGTGGGACGCCCACGATAGGCGCAGCGCCCTTCAAGTATAGATCGCACCATTTCAAGCTCCGTCCCGCCTCCTTGGCGAACTGCTTCCTGATTGCGTGGGGCTGGTCGCTCACGACTCTCTGACACTTCCGAGATAGGTCCTGCTGCGTAGCATGTGCGTCGAGAATTGCGTTGGCGTCCTTGCGCCAGGACGCAACCTCAGGTCGGGGTTCACTTCTTTGAGAAGCCTGGGGGGATTCACGTAAGACTTCACGTTGTTCATGCTCTGTGCGTTGGCGTTCGACGTGTGCAACATACGGATATCAGCACCTGGTGTGGCGGCTTGCTGTGGTAAGGTTGCTGGAACAGCCAATGCTGCAGCCTTGTCTGCTGAGCGTGCCCGTGGCCTCTCTGGGGGAGGCTGCCGGACCAGACTGTATGATCTGCGAGGACGTTGTGCGAAGATGTGCGCTATCTCAGCGCCTGCCAATTGCGGCTCACCCATTGGTACAGCGAGAGCCCGTTCAATTGCGGACGGCACGAAGAAGCAAAAGAGTTCTCACGTTGTGATTGCGCATTTTGGTTTCGCCTGGCTGCAGGACGTGTCTCGGGCGATTTCTAGATTCGGGCCTCGGTGGCAACGAATGGCAACACACTCACGCAATGATGCATAAACGCATGCATGCACACCCGCATCAGCTCTTGCAAAGAATGTGCAATCACGCGCTGCAGTGGCAACGATCGATGCTCGGTTCAAGTGTCATAAATAACGCGAGTCCTGACTTCCGGGGGCACTGGCTCGAGAAAATCAGTGCACCAGATCTTTGGACCCACTCGATCTCCCAAGATTCGGAGGAAGAAGCGGGTGCCCACACCGTTGCCCGTCCCTCGTCGCTCGAGGTCCTGGTCGGAGCGCTCTGAAGGAGAGGCCCGAAGCACGGCGGCAGCTTCAGTACCTTTTTGCCCCCTCGCAGCCCGGAGGTCGTTCGGAGCGCCCAAGGAAACTCCGCAGCGTTTTCGACTTGAACGGGGGGAGGAGGAGGAACGAGGAAGCGGCGAGGAGGACGGAGGAGGCAGGAGCACGAGGCTGAGGACCAGCAGGGGTGCGTAAGACCCACAGACCTCCCGGAGGGTCTCCGCGCCCCCGTGCCAAAAGGTGCTCGCCGTGGAAGGCGGGTGGGTCTACGGCGAGTGTGGCGGCCGCCACGGGTGGCTGCATCCAGATGCCCTTTGCGGCGGCGAGGACGGGCCCGCGTCGGAGCTGGAGGTCGCTGCGCAGCTGGGGCCTCCTACGCTGCGGCGCGACGGCGACCGTGGGCGAAAAAAAAGTGAGTCTCCGCGGCCTCGCGGGCTTGGCCCCCGGGACGCGACCACGCAGATACGGGGCGTTTTTTTTCGCGGATGCCCTGCGCGGGAAGTATCTGTGTGACCGCGAATCCGCGGGATCGCGCCCCGGGAATCCAGACAGCGAGGCTGCGGACACGGATCTGTTCGCCATTCCCGAGGCGAGGGGCCAGCGCGGCTGAGCCAGGCGGAGTTCGCCGAGCTCGTGAGGAGCACCGCCTGAAGAGCCCCGCGCCGCCCCGGGCGCAGGCTGCCCAGCTGCAGAGCGCGCTCACCAAGGAGGCGGAGAGGCTCGCGACGGCCGAGTCGGCGGGGCAGGAGGACGAGACGCGCGCCTGCGCGGCGGGCCCCGCCTGGCCACGGCGGCTGGCGCAGTCGAGGTCCGGCGCCTCCCAAGGAGGTTTGCCCCGCCTCTCGAAGGGGAGTGGTCAGAGGAGGTAGCGGTACCGAAACCGCTGCCCTGGCCTCGTTTACGCCTTTGCGGGGCATCTTGGGAGGCCCTCGTCGCCACGGCAGCATTCGCCTCGAAGTTCCGACGTTCCTGTCACGAGTAGCGGTGCGTAGCTTTACCATGTGCCATGTGGTTTCCCCGAGTGGCTTCATTGTCGACAGCCAGGACGCAGATGCTGTCGGGCAGCGTGGGAGACTTCGGTGACGCAGGGGGGGGCCTTGGGAAGCGCCTGCCTTCTCCCCAGCTGCACGCCCAGTGCGCTGACGTGCTGCTGTCCGTGTGCAGTGTGCCGCGGGCGTGTCCTCGGCGCTCGGGCGCGGGGGCCCGCGCCGTGCAGCCTCGCGGCCGAGTGCGCACCGCTCCCGCTCGCCGTGGCGCGGTGCCACGGGCGACTGCCGGCGGGCGCCCTACGAGCGCTGAGAGGCAGCGCTGCAGGTCGAGGGGCAGCCTTGGGAGCATCGGCGGGGGCCGCCACTGCCCACCAAACAGACCCCCGCGGGCCACCATGACAGTGATCACGACGGGAGGTGTTCCTCGATGTTCGGCCTCTGGGGGGCACTCACCGGGCCTCGGTCCCGGGGAACGGGTCGAGACCTCAGGGAGTCCACGTTAGGACAAATAATGACGTCGGGGGTGGGAACTACCCCAACCCAACCCGCAGGCCCCAAGTTGCCCTCCATTCACGGTGGGGTGGCATCCCAGAACATTGAAGACACACCGATCGAACCCGTACGCCCCCCAACCCGAAATTCGGGGTTTCGGGTTGGGTTGGGGTGGTCTGGTCGATACTCAGGTCTTCTCCAGGTTTGTTTCCGATCTGGGCCTCCCAGATGGAGTCGGAGCAGATCAGGTCGGAGGATTCCGCTGCATCGCCGATGAATCGGCGATGCGGCTCGATGTGAAGCCCGATATTCTTCACGCTGGCGTCGCTGATGCATCGCCGACGCAGCCGATGCATCGGCGATGCGGCGCGATCCTCCCACCCCATCTACGGTAGGATCGCGCCGTGTTGACCGGCGGCGAGCCCGCCGCCGGCGTTCAACGTTTGAGCGCCGCCACCGGCCCAGAGTCGGTGTATGTTGAACGATCTGACGTTTCGTAAACGGCCGATCATTCAGGGTTAAACGATCCATGCGGTGTCACGAACAAGCGCAAGGGTCAATAGGTCACGAAGCCGCGGTACAGTCATGGCGCCGAAATATGGTCCAGCCCGTGTTTGGAAGGGGCTCGGTGGTTCCTTGGGCGTCTGCCTGCGTTCCCTCGCAATGTTGCAAGGGAGCCCGCTCCCTGGGCTTCGGCAGAGGGGGTGGTCACTTCCGAAGCGATAGGCCAAGACGAGGGAACGCCTCCTGAAAGGGGCTCGGCCGTTCCCTAGAAATGTGCGACTAGACTTTGAACAGCAGTGGCTTCGTTCTGTCGCGTTCCTCCTGGCAGCGCCATGACCGTACTTCAGCTCCACCCGGGAGGCCTCTGCCACATGGCCCCAGCCCGCGTGCCCACGGCCCTGTCCCTCGCAAGAGCGCGCGCGCGCACCGCATCGGCAAGCGTGCAGGCCATCGCGCGGCGCGGGCAGGCTGGCGGAGAGCACTGGCCGCCGTCTGGGTTGAGGGCAGAGGGTGAAGTCTGAAGTGCCGTCTCGATGGATTTTCGAGGCTTGCGTCTGCCAGCGGCGAATCACAAGACGGATTTCGCCCTGAGATCTCCACACTGAGAGAATGCTCAGATTTGGTTGTGGTGAGTATTCTGCGCTTCATCTGGTAGCACGATGGCTGTTAGATGAGCGGGTCGTGCTCCGAAGAAAACAACAACTAATCCTAAGTCGAGCCTGTCCCTCGACAGGAGGGGTATTAAAAAAATAGTCGAGAAATAGTATGGGGATGCTTTTTGACTATGTTTTGAAATCTTGCAGTATGGTTTGAATATTTTCCATTTTTCTCCAAAAATCCCCCTGCAGGGGGACAGGCCCGACCTAAAACTGGATAAACGCAAACTTTGGGATGTTTGCGCGGACATCTTGGATCGGCGTTGGGCCCCCCCTGGCGGCGACCCTGCCGCCGCCAGCGCGCTCCGCGCGCCGGGGAGGGGGGCACAGCGCCGATCCAACAGTTAAATCCGCGCCGGCTTCCGAAAGCGTAGGTTGATGGCCTTTCTTCTCCTCCTGTTGTTGGCCGACCGACCAAGCGCCCGGCGTTCCAGAGCGCCAGGTCGCTGCAGATGTCGACAGACGACGCTCGGACGGGACGAGGATAAATCAGGTCCAGAGCGTTCTGGAACGCTCTCAGAGCGTTCCCGAACGCTCTGAAGAGGCCGCGTCGTTCGATACATCCTCCCAAACCGCCAGATCTCAGAGAGTCTCGACTTATCCTCGTCCTGGCTTCGTCTCAGACGCTTGTGCAGCCTGCTCCAAAAACACGCGTGCCCGACCCCCTGGCACACCTCCGCAACCCACGCACACTGCTTTGACAAAGAATCGGCGCCTGCGACCAGCCCGTTGCATACGGTCGGACCGAGGTAGAAGGTCGAGGTCGGTTCGGGGAGAGCACCCTGATGGTCCTCGTGTTTGTTGGAAAACATTGTGTACCGAGCGGAGGGTGCCCTGGGGTGTTCTGTATGTTTTGGCCAGCGGAGGGTCTCGTGTTGTTGAAGGAAGTTCTTCTGTGCTAGATCCGACCGAGCATAATGTACAATGTGTTTGAAACTTTGTGCCTACGGTTGGCTGCTTTCGAAGAGTCCGAAACGACATAAATCTATCTAAACGTTTGACAGTCCGCGCGGGTCTCTTGGATCGGCGCTGGACCCCACTTGCGGCGCCTCTGGCGCCGCCCCTGACGCGCTCTGCGCGCCAGAGATGGGGGTCCGGGTCCAGCGCAAATCCAAGACATCCGCGCGGACCGTCGAGAGCGTATGTGTTTTTTTGATTGTTGTTCCGACTTCTAATTCGGATTTGTTTTCGAGCATCGTAGGCTGCCTGCGATTCCCCCCCTCCCTCTCACGAGATTCTTTTTCCCCCATCGGCGTTTGCAGTGTAGTGGCGGATGTTGGAAGATTTGGCGAATCTTGGTGGCCGGGTTCCTGGGGTTCCTGGGGTCCTGGTCCTGGGTTCTGGTTTCTGTTTCCGTGTTCCGCATTGGTCTTGGTGGGCGGCCGGGTTGCCGTGTTCCCGTTTCCGGGTTTTTGGTCTCGGTTGGCGATTTTGGATCAGTTTCGGTGGGCGGCGGGTTTTTTGGAGTTTCAGAGTTTGGTTCTTAGATTCCCGTGTTATCGGTCGATCTCATTCGATCGATCTCATGATCGATCCCTCAATCGATCTCATTATCGATCTCGCTATCGATCTCACCATCGATCTCACTTTCGATATCACACCATCGGCCTCACTACCAGTATCATTATCGATCTCAACATCGACCTCACGATCGATCTTACTCAATGGATCTCACTATCGGTCAATTGCGGGTTCATTCCTCCCACCCGCCCACGCAGCTTCGCGTCGCCCGCCCGCACGACACGACCACGAATCCGAAACCGATTTCCCAGTGGAGGGGGGGTCTTCGTTTCACTGCGATCTCCCCCTCCTCCTCCCCGTAACGGACGTGACAGGAGGGGAAAACAAAAACAATTCCCACTCTTGTCCCCAACCGTGGGGAAGCACAGTATCTATATCTATATATATATATATAGTATACACATATTTACACATCTATAATACAACGGGCGACCAGGTCCCCGGGCCCCGTGGGTCCACTTTTTCAAAGCTCCTCCACCCCCCCAGGTACTGATTTTTGCCCTGGGGTTCAGGGGAAGTTTGGCGGCCAACGTACCACCCAGCTGGCTTTCAGACAGTACCAGGGCGGCCCGAGTGGACGTTCCAGCTGAACCCAGAGAGCCCGGGGAGACGCTTCCAAGACGGCCCAAGAGACTCTCAAGACTTGCCGAGGAGGCCAAGAAATGACTCCTGAGAAGCCTCCCAAAGTAAGACATCATTTCTTTTCTTGAGGTCTTTCTATGGTTTCCGTACCTTCGTCCTCTCGGCCGTGAGAGTTCCCAAGATCGCCCGAAAGGCTTTCAATACGGCCCCGACGAGCTCCAAGGAAATGCTTCAAGAGGGCTCCAAGAAGGGTCTTGGACGACACAAGAGCGGCTCTAGACGGCTCGGGAAGGCCCTTAGGACGCCCCGTGCGGGCTTCTCAGGAGCCCAGGCAGGCCCCAGACAGCCCAAGACGCCCCAAGACGGCTCTCAGAGACACCCAAGCCGTCCCAGAGGACACCAACGCACCCCGAGAGTCTCCCGAGATGGCCCCAGAACGCCCCCAAGGGACCCCCAAGACGGCCCCCAAACGGCCCCAAAGACACCCAAGACGGCCCCATCCAGCATGCGTCCAGAATGCTCCAGGACGGCTCCCAACGACGGCTAGGCGTGGCCATGAAGCTTGTCAAAATGCCCCCGAGAAGCCAGAAGCGTCCAACTGAAACGCGCCTGGTGCGCATGGCACGCGCGGCGCGTGCGCGCTGTGCGCTTCGTGGCCTTGGCCCCCCGCGCGCCGAACCGTTCTCGGTTGCAGGGTCGGGAAGGCCGCGCCTTGCTCTTCCTGCCCACGTCATAAACAATGCTCTCGCTGTGCGTCCGCAGCGCCACCTGGTGCAGACGATGCTCGTTGTGTAGCTGGCATGCTTCAGCAGGTGCGCGTGGCGCGCCGTGTTCGTTACGAGCGCCTAGCGCTTCGAGTGCGCTGCCTGCGCGTTGCGGGTGGCGTGCGGAGCGTGTGCGCGCAGCGCGCTTGGTGGCCGTGGCCCGTCGCGTGTCGGCCCCTTCGCATTTGCATGGTCGGGCGGGCTGCACCTTCTCGACCCGACCTCCATTCGAAACAGGTGCGGCAATGCGCTCCAAGCTCCGTTTGCTGTCTTTCGTCTTGCCGGCGGGTGCCGGGGGCGTCGCGCGGTATTCTCTCGGGCGCGGCAGGCTGGTCGCCTCGCCGCAGTCCCGCTTTCGCTCGCGCTGGTGGGCGCTCGGTCGGAGGAGGGGCCTTCAGCTCAGGTTTCAAAGCCTGTGGCTTCTCTTGCAGCCCACTGATTCCAGTCTTGCCAGGGCTTGCGGTGGCGATGGCGGCCCGGAGTTTGTCGCATGTGTGCGCAAGGTGTCTAGATCTGCCCTGGTCGCTTTCCTGGCTTCGCCCCTCGCCCGCCTCCACTCTCGAGCCAAGCTGCAGCAGCTAGGAGTGGCGCCCTTGACGGCTTCAGACAACCAGTGGTGGTGAGTGTCGCTTTCCCGCTGTTGGGCCTCGCGCGGCGCGCTGGGCATTGGGCTTCTTCTGCTGTCGAGTAATTCGCTGTTTTTTGGTCGTCGGGTTCTCCAAGCTCTTCGAATGCATGGGAGCATTCACGTTGCATGGCGTTACAATGTGTTTCTGAAGGTTGGACGCTTTGCATAGCATTGCGGTGGTCTTATGCTGACATGTATTGTGTTGAGTTGCTTTGCAATGCTGTGTTTTAAACTGTTGTGGGATGTTTCGGGTTGCATTGCATCGCATTGCATATAGTTTATGGTGTTAAACCTTGCGTTGCGTAACGTGTGTGTTGTCATTCAGCATGCTGTTTGGTTGCATTGCTCGTGTTGCGTTACATTGAACTGCATTCCCTTACACTTTCTTTTGATGATTTGGACCACGTCGCTTCGAAGTGAACTACGCTGGGGCTGCGTTTCTTTTTTGACATGGCGGTGCACTTGCATTGCTTGGCATTGGGCAATCCCGTGCTTAATCGGTACATGTTTTGTGTCGAAAACGTTCAACAGTCAACCTATTGTTTGGGATGGTACATGTTCAAGCCTTGCTCAATGCTAGTGCGGTGTCGTATGTGTAGATGTACATTCCATATACCCATAACTCTACTGGATATGGATGCAGAAGCATTTGCACTTGTATGTTGTAGAGGGCCGGGGTTCGCTAGAAACTAAGCGCGAGCGAAGCGCGCGCGTAGTTCGAGCACATGTGTATATATATATATAGAGAGAGATATACAGAGAGAGAGAGAGAGAGGACGAGAGAGAGAGAGAGATAAAACAAAAAGAAAGACAGCGAGAGTAAGAGAGAGAGAGAGAGAATAAACACATAAAACACAGGAGAGAGAGAGAGAGAGACAGAGAGGGAGGGGGCGAACGGTCTGACGCTGTCGCTGGGTGCCGAAGACGTCCGCTCCCAGTGGAGCCGCCACGTTGCTGTGCGAGCGGGCCTCCGCTGACCGTGCTGTCGGGCCGTCTAAGAAGCCCCACGCGGGGGTGGCCCCCCGTGGCCGTCGAAGCCCCTCGCGAGGCCTAGCAAGCGACGGTAAATGTCGAGGATGGGTGCGTTTCCGCCGAGACGGCTCACCCAAATCGGAGAGCAGTGGGGGGGCGATCACCCACGCTGCTTTTCGATTTGCTCTTCCGTGGCCGGCACGCCCGGCCCTCGAAGAAGCCCACTGCGGGGCCCCAAGAAAGTGACGCCTGTTTCGGTCATGGGATCCTTCCAGTTGAGAAAGCAGGCGCGGTGCAAGTGGAAGAGTGGGTGTTTTTTCGGATGTGTTGGCGCGTTGGCTGGTTGGGTTGGGTTGGTTGGGTTGGATGGGTTGGTTGGTTAAGCTGGCCTATGAGGGCAATCGGTTTCTTTCGTTTGCGCAGATCGCATGAACGTGTTCGTTTGGGCCCCCCTGCGTTTTTCAGGAAAAAACGACTGGCGTCTTCCACCTCCCCCTCCACCTCTATCCTCCTCCGCCCCCTCATTCTCCCCGTCCTCCTCTTCTGGGGGCCTTTCTCAGCCTCTTATCTTCCTCCTCCCGTTCGTCCTCCTCTTCCTCTTTTCCCTATTCCTCCTTATCCTCCTCCTCCTCCTCCTCCTCCTCCTCCTCCCAATCAGAACACCCTTACGGAGCCGACCAAGCAACACCACAGGAAGCATACAAAACAACATGACAATATTATGCTAACGGAGTTCCCCACATTAGGATGTTGGGGGCTTCGTGGGGTCAATGAGGCAAACTAATGACAATCTGAATGGGACGGCCATCGCAAAGGTACGTGCGAAAGAAACGGCAGACGAAGGCAAGGAGGGGGAGCAGCAGGGAGGAAGATGACGGTTGTTCAAGAAACACGTTCGCCCCTGGAGGAGTGAGAGGGGCACGACACCTGATACATTCCATGTTTTGCGAATGCCCTCCTCGCTCAGGCGGGGCCTCCCTGGAGGAGTGGGAGGGGCACGAAACCTGATACACAACATGGTTTGCGAATACCCTCCTCGCTCAGACGGGGCCTCCCTGGAGGAGTGAGAGGGTCACGACACCTGATACACAACATGGTTTGCGAATACCCTCCTCGCTCAGGCGGGGCCTCCTTGGAGGAGTGGGAGCGGGAGTGGCCTCTCTGACGTGGCCTCCCTGGAGTGGCAGGTATGTCATGGTAGTGTTGGTATGGTAGGTGTGGTCTGATATGGTAGGTATGGCATGTTATGGTATTGTAGGTATTGTAGAGTAGGGCATGACATGGCAGGTATGGTATGGTATGGTAGGGTTGGTATGGTGTTCATGTTAGGTCTGGCATGTTAGGCGGTATGGTAGGTATGGTAGTGGTATGGTATGGTATGGTATGGTAGGTATGGTTGGTATGAGATGGTAGGTCTGCTAGAGGAGGAGTAGGAGGAAGAGGAGGAGGAGAAGGAGGAGGAGAGAGGCAGAGGAGGAGCAGGAGGAGGAGAAGTAGGAGAAGGAGAAGTAGAGGGTGCTCTAGGACATTATTTTGACGGAGTTCCCCGCATGAGGATTGTGAGGGTTTCCTGGGGTCAATGAGGCAAATTGGTATCACTATGAATGGACGGGCCATCGCAAAGGTACGTACGACAGACACGACAGACGAAGATTGGAAGGGGGGCAGCAGGGAGGAAGACGACGGTTGTTCAGGAAGCACGTTCGTCCTTGGAGGAGTGGGAGGGGCACGAACCTGTTCACATACCATGATTTGCGAATACCCTCCTCGCTCAGGCGGGACCTCCCTGGAGGAGTGGGAGGACCACGAAACCTGAAACATACGATGGTCTGCGAATACCCTCCTCGCTCAGACGGGGCCTCCCTGGAGGAGGGGCGGGCACGACACATGATGCATACCATTGTTTGCGGATACCCTCCTCGCTCAGGCGGGGCCTCCTTGGAGGAGTGGGAGGGGCACGACACCTGATACATTCCATCTTTTGCGAATGCCCTCCTCGCTCAGGCGGGGCCTCCCTGGTGGAGTGGGAGGGGCACGACACCTGATACACGACATGGTTTGCGAATACCCTCCTCGCTACGGCGGGGCCTCCCTGGAGGAATGGGGGGGGGGGGGCGCGACACATGATACATACCATTGATTGCGATAATCCTCCTCGCTCAGGCAGGGTCTCCCTGGAGGAGTGGGAGGGGCACGACACCTAATCCATTCCATGGTTTGCGAATGCCCTCCTCGCTCAGGCGGGGCCTCCCTGGAGGAATGGGTGGGGGACTCCACCTGATACGCAACATGGTTTGCGAATACCCTCCTCGTTCAGGCGGGGCCTCCCTGGAGGAGTGGGAGGGTCACGAAACTTGATAACTAACAAGGCTTGCGATAATCCTCCTCGCTCAGGGAGGTCCTCCCTGGAGGAGTGGGAGGGGCACGACACCTGATGCATTCCATGTGTTGCGAATGCCATCCTCGCTCAGGCGGGGCCCCCCTGGAGGAGTGGGAGGGGCACGGCACCTGGGTGGGGGGGGAAAGGGGGGGGGGGATGGGGGGAGCCCCTCAGGATTGTTGTTGTGGTGTGTTTTTTCCTATGGTGTTGCTGGGTTCTGTTCCGCAAGGGGAGTCTGATTGGGATGCGGCGGAGGCGGAGGAGAAGGAGGAGGTGGAAGAGGAGGAGGAGGGGGAGGAGAAGGCAGAAGAGGGGGGGAAGAGGAGGGGGAGGGGAGGTTCGACGACGACGACGACGACGGCGGCGGCAGAGAGGGGCATCATTCCCCCCCGCGTTGGTTCCTTAGTAAGGGTGCCTAGGGAACGATATCCTAGTTAGGATTCCTCACGGATTGCAGAGTGAAGGTTCCGTGCTAAGGACCTTGTAGCACAAGGTTCTTGGCTACGAGTTCATCAGTCAATACTCCTTAGTCGAGGTCCCTTACAACAGTCCCTCATTGACGATTCCTTCATTCACATTCCTCTTTAAGGATTCCGTAGTACATATTCCCTATGAAGGAATACGTCCTAACGGTTGCGTTTTCCCCAACCTTCCTTTGTTGGGCATTCGTTTTGAATAGAGAATTGCGGTCGCGTCGTCCTCCTCCTCCCGCCTCCCGCCTCCTGTCCCCCGCTTCCCTTGTGTGTGCATCCTGCCGTCGCTGGGGGAATGCGGTCTGCGAAACTGTCGCCACTTTCGAGGGCTGTTGGTGGGTCCAGCGGGGTGAGGCACCGCGTAGATCTGAGGTAGACCTGATTGTCCCTGGGGGGCTGCGATCTGCGAACCTGTCGCCACGTTCGAGGGCAGCTGGTGGGTCCAGCGGAGTGAGGCACCGCGCAGATCTGAGGTAGACCTCGCCGTCCTTGGGGGGCTGCGATCTGCGAAACTGTCCCAAGTTTCGAGGGCAGCTGGTGGGTCCAGCGGAGTGAGGCACCGCGCAGATCTGAGGTAGACCTCGCCGTCCTTGGGGGGCTGCGATCTGCGAAACTGTCGCCACTTTCGAGGGTTGCTGGTGGGTCCAGCGGAGTGAGGCACAGCGCAGATCTGAGGTAGACCTCGCCGTCCTTGTGGGGCTGCGATCAGCGAAACTGTCGCCACGTTCGAGGGCTGCTGGTGGGTCCAGTGGAGTGAGGCACCGCGCAGATCTGAGGTAGACCTCGCCTTCCCTGGGGGGCTGCGATCTGCGAACCTGTCGCCACGTTCGAGGGCTGCTGGTGGGTCCATCGGAGTGAGGCACCGCGCAGATCTGAGGTAGACCTCGCCTTCCCTGGGGGGCTGCGATGTGCGAAACTGTCGCCAGTGTCGAGGGCTGCTGGTGGGTCCCGCGGAGTGAGGCACCGCGCAGATCTGAGGTAGACCTCGCCCTCCTTGGGGGGCTGCGATGTGCGAAACTGTCCCCAGTTTGGAGGTCCGCTGGTGGATCCAGCGGAGTGAGACACCGTGCAGATTTCAGCGGGACATCGCCGTCCCTGGGGGGCTGCGATCAGCGAAATTGTCGCCACTTTCGAGGGCTGTCGGTGGGTCCCGCGGAGTGAGGCACCGTGCAGATCTGAGGTAGACTTCGCCGTCCCTGGGGGGCTGCGATCTGCGAAACTGTCGCCAGTTTCGAGGGCTGCTGGTGGGTCCAGCGGAGTGAGGCACCGCGCAGATTTGACCGGGACCTCGCCGTCCCTGGAAGGCTGTCAACCTCACGAATGCCGCTCGCAGAATTATATGCGCCCATGTCGCGTCATCACCTCTGTATAACGTGTCCTAAGCTACTCGTGCCCCTCGGTGCGCCGGGGTTGGGTACATCGCCAGGGTAATTTGATGGAGTCCCCAATACAAGCTCCTTGCTACGGTATCACCAATCAATATTCTTAACTATGGGTTCCTAAGAACAGATCTCCTACTAAGGGGTCCTTAATCCAAATGCCTTTTTCAAAAGGGGTCCCCAATAAAGACTCCGTATTAGAAAGGGCCGTTAAATAGAAGGTTCTTCATTAAGGATTTGTCGTACATATTCCGTCTTAGGAGATCTTCCGTACATATTCATGACTAAGGATTGTTTCACACATGTTCTTTGTTGCGGGTTCCTTAGTACAGATCACCAAAGGATTCCTTCAAACCGATTCCCTTTGTAGGGGGTCCTTCATACAGAATCTTGTGCTGATTCAATGGGAAGGGTCCCGTAATAAAGACTCTTGGTTGGTATTCATTAGTAGATTTTCTTTAGCCATGATTCTTAGGTACAGATCCTGTATCAAGAATGGATTCCTGAGTACGTATTCCTGATTCATAATTCTTTCATATATATTTATATATACATACTCATTTTATTATGGCTTCATCATCAAAGAATCCTCATGAAGGGTTCCTTAGCGCGGACTCCAGATTTAGAGCTCTTGGAAAGTTTCTTTGTTCAGGCTTCCTTCGTAAACATGCCTTATCAAGGATTCCTCCGTAAATGTACATCACGAAGGATTATTCAATGAAGATCCGTGGTTAATAATTCCACAACAACACCGGGGGTGCCCGGGTGCCCGCGGGTGCCCGAGCGTGTTTGGGGGTGCCCTGGTGCCCGGGTGCCCTGGTGCCCGGGTGCCCGGGCGTGCTTGGGGGTGCCTGGGGGTGCCCGGGGCCGGGGGTGCCCTATAGCTAGCCCTATAGCCCTACAACTCTATAGCCCTATAGCTCTATAGCCCTATAGCTCAATAGCCCTATAGCCCCCTAGCCCTATAGCCCTGATTGGGGTTTTTCTACGGTATCATTTGTATTTTTGATTTTTCAGTACATATTCCTCATTAAGAATCCGTTCGTACATATTTGTTATGAAGAACCCCTTCGCAACACATTCGTTAGCGAGGGTTCCTCAGTAAATCAGTTTTAACAATGATTCTGCAGTAAAGATTCACCATTAAGGATTTGTTAGCAAAGCGTCCTTATAAAGTATACTTCCGTGAAGCTTCCTTATTCAGGGTTCTTTAGTACAGATTATGTATGATCGAGTCCTTTGTAAAGATCTATGATGAGGGATTATTTACTCTAGATTTCTTGTTGTAGAATTTATTTGTCAATATTTCTCAGTGAGGAGTCCTTAGTAAAGATTTCTACTTGCGGGTTCCTTCTTGCGAATTCCGTCGGGTCTTTACTAGAGAGCTGTTCCTTGAAAGCGCAGGGGGCCCAAATGAGCTTCTAGCCACTCGTTGAAACAAACCATTGGTGTTGGATCACGACGTCGCGGCCTGCTTGAAGAGCACGTCCGAAGTACAAGCTGTTGAGGACCCCCACGCTGAATCGCTCAACGGAAATTCACGGCGACTCTACTCCTTCGGATACGTGTGCATGTTAATATACATGTATGTTGTGAGCCCAGTCTGTTGCCATCTCGGACCAGTGCTGAGAGTGCCGCGCCAGTGCCGCTGTCTGGCTCTTGCGTCGGTTTGGCATGATGTTGCTCGTTCGCACTATCAGCAGCAATCCCCCCCAGCAGTCCTACACGAACGCTTTGCCTCAGCGCGTGCCTCCTTCCTGCTTGGCCCCCCCCCAGCGGCGAGGCTGGGCCCTCGTCCTGAAGCAGGTGGCCAGACTGAGGTTTCTCGGCCTTCTCGGATACCTGCTGGAGTGGTTGTTGGAGGCGCGGACGGGGGCGGATGCACCCGAGGGAAAATTCATTACGACCTGCACCAAGATCTCGCGGGAATTTGTCGACGCCGGTCGTGGTGAGGGTCCATGCGATACCGACTCGCGCGGTGGATGATCCACGAGTCGACGGTGATCAAGATGGACGGCGACCAGGATCGACACCCAGGTGTCTGCATCCAGTCATGGTTCTGGTCACCGCTTTCCTTCCCCTCCCTGCATGGACGTGCGTGCTGTCTCGGCACATTTGCGTCTTTTCATTCCAGGCACTGGCTGGCCCTTGGCCGGGAGGCACCACAGGGCTGAGTGGGCGAGCGCGGGGCGGTTTGGGGAGGGCCGCGAGGGCGAAAGCGCAGCGACATCGTTTTGGAACCCCGCGTGCACACGTGAGGCGAGCGTGTATGTGTTGCGCATCTGTTCATCTGGTAGTGTGTGCGCGTGTGTGTGTGTGTGTCTATATGTATCTGAGGGCTCGGGCGCTCTTAGTCGCGCGCGCGTGTTTCCTGCTTTTCGACCTTCTCCGCACGGTCGCCGTGCGCAGGGCCGCGACGCCAAACAAATGTGTTTGTGTGTTTGCGCGTGTGTGCGTGCGTGTGTGTATGCGTACCTGTCTGCCCGCGGCACAACCTGCTTGCTGGCGCGAGTTTGCTTGCTTCTTTGCTAGTGATAGTGATCTTGTGGTGTGAACAGACTGCTTTCGCGAGTCTGTCTGCGTGTCTGTTTGTCTGTCAGTGTGTCTGTCTGTCACTCCGTCAGCCAGTCAGTCAGTCAGCCAGTGTTTGTGTGTTTGTGTGTGTCTGCCGCGCTGCTTCCTGGCCTTTCCTGCTAGCATCGCTGGGCCGCTCCTGCACTTGCATGTCGCATTTGGGCAATGTGCACGCCGTGTTTCTGCACCCGCAACCTTCTTTCGGTTGCTCCCCATCGGCGCACGTTTCGTGGTAGTCAGCCTGCCGCAACCCGCTAACGCCCCCGCACCAGCCGTGAAGTAAAACAGTTGCGTCTTTGTGTGTGTGCGGTTATATTAATATGTTCTCTCTGGGATGAGTAGCCTTCTGCGCTTGCATTCGCCTGTCTTCTGGCCCTCTCACTAATGTTGTATTTCTTCTTCGCACGCCCGTGGAGGTATCCAGCATTGTTTTTTGCTGTTGCCCAAGAAGCCCCACTCCCGAGATCACGAATTATGCTCCCCGTCTCGTATCGTGTTTCCTGGGCCGATTCGATGCTGAGTGATCCCGCTCCTCCCCCACCAAAGCTGCCTGCCCAGACTCGCCCGCGTCGTGAACAGAATCTCGACAGGAGTTGTGTTACTATGTTCGGCCTGGGCCCTTGCAGCGCCCCGGGACCGGCATGAAAAGCCGGTCACAGGGAATCGGTCGAGAACAATTTTGGTGGTTCCCGTTGTGCAATATTATTCACGACGTCGGGCTTTTGGGCTCCCATCACCGCCTCCCGTGCGTCGAACTCAGGGGCGCGGGTGGTGCCGCAATGCCACACACGGTGCGTCCCCCGCGGCGCGGGCCCGCGCAGCTGTCCGATCTTGTCCTCCTCCCGCTGCCCCCCCGGATTCCGTCGCCGCGGCCTTTGATGCAGCGGGAGGGCCCATTGAATTTGACACGTTTAGATGATACGTTTGCCTTTTGTCGCCGCGGCTTGTGATGCAGTCGGGGGCACCGAGCCCTCCACCCAGTGAGGAGTTGGCATGTGTCGATGATGCGAGCGACGAAGGACAACGGGCTCGTCTTCACCGACGTTGCGCGCTAGGTGCCCGCGCAAGGCCGCGCGCAAGCTCCCTCCTTTCCACGCGGTGTGCCCCGCTGGCAGCCCGCGCAAGCCCCTGCGCAAAGTCGCTAGCTCATCTCGCACGGGCCCGTTTCTTTTCGTGGCCCGTTGGACCCGCCCCTCGTGCTGCTTCGGGAGGCGTGGAGGGTGGGGCTGGTCATCCCCCCCTGCCCTGCGCAACCCCAGAGAAAGACCCCCACCCAGGGGCCCGACCACCACGGGGATGTGGCAGCCTTGCCGAGGGGGTGCCGCAACTGGGGGGAGGGATTCCGAGGAGCGGCCCACGCTCGGGCGTCAGCCTGCCCGGCCGCGAGGGGTTCCCGAGGGTGCCGACGTCGGATGCGGGAGGGGGTCCTTTTGGGCCGTCAGTGCTTGTCGATGCTGGCTCGATGGATCGTGTCCCATCGTGCTGCCAGGGCACGCACATGAACAAGACGCTGCACTACTTGGCGCGCCTTCCGTCATCCGTCGTCGCCGTCGTCCGTCCTCAGTCGTTCGTCGTCCGTCCGTCGCCAGCGCACGGGGTGCAGGAGGAGGAGAAGAAGCGCGAACAGGAGAAGCAGGAAGAGGAGCAAGAACGGGCCAGAGGGTCGCGTCCCGCCTATGGTCTGGTCACTGGCATGAGCAGCTTCATCAGCTCCACAAGTCTGTTCGTTGGGGTTTCGCGGGGGTAGGGGGAGCAATGCAGCGGGAGCGGGGGGATGTTGCAGACAACCGGCGTTTTCGAGAATTACCGTATCTACAGGCGTGCCCCATCGGCCTCACAAAGAGTGTGCCGCGAATGCGGTGTTGCGAGATCGTGAGCGTCGAAGGGACTTTCTTCGTGGTTTGCGGCTAGTTGATTTGTTGATGTCGCAAGCTGCCTCCAAGTCGTGTCCAGCAGGTGTCAGATTCGACTTGGGGCCTAGGGTCTGGCGCATCACCTCCAAGCCTGGCTGGGAAGAAGTGTTCCCAGACCTCCGACGTTGTGACTTGTTGCTTCGCGGCGTGGGCTCATGGAGCACTCGACCCATCGATTATTCTTGCATGGCGTTTCATGAGAGTCCTGAGACCAGAACATGGTTCCCAGACTCCGAGCTCAGTCGTTTTTTCAGTCAGCAGCGAGGGCGGGCGCCAACGCGTTCGGAAAGCTGGCGGGCCGCTCCGGGCAGGGGCAGTGTACACGCTTGGAAACCAGGAGGGCGGCCGAGGAGGAGGAACGTGGGTGGGGGTCCTCAGGCCTGGAGGATCTTCGCCACCAGAAGTGCGCGGGCGGCCTCAGGCACCGAAACCAGGTGTACTGGAAGGGGAGCGGCCAGGGCGAGCTGCCGAGGGGAGGTCGCGAAATCTGGAAAAGCAAGACGACTAACGACAGACATTTGCAGATTGGTCGTTCTTCCTGGCCCTCGTGGCATTCAACATGTGTGCCCACAGCCCTCGACACCCGTCCTCTTGATGTATGAACGTGCCACCTTTTGGGTTTGATTTCATGCCAGCTTTGGGGTACACTCGCACAGGGTAAGACAAGCAGGTCCAGCTGGCGGACCCTACCTGGCGGGTCGGGCGGGTCGGACGGTCCGAATATTAAAGCGGGCGGCTGATTGCTTTCAGGCAGCCGGCCAGATGGACCCTGATGGACGAGCCAGGGTGTCGGAGCGGGTATCGCCCCATGTTCCGCTGGAGCGGGCAGAGTCCCACCCCGACCACTTTTTGCACGCCGCCAAACTGGTGTGATTCCCCTTGCAAAATGGTGATTGGATTGAGGGGGCTTCATTCCCCAAACAGTGCTTGCACGTGGAAATTCTGACTTGCGTTTCTGAAGGATTGGACGCGTGTCCCGAGGGTTCGCCTCGCTCTGGTTGTTGCAGCCCCGTTGCTGATCGTTGCTGCTTGTGGCGGTGTCCCCAGGATTCGCCACGTTCCGGCCCGTTGCCGGCCGTTGCCGCTTGTGGGGGTGTCCCAAGGATTTGTGACGTTCTGGCCAGTTGCCGATCGATGCCACCTGCCAGGGTGTTCCGCGGATTCGCTACACGCTGGCCCTCTGCTGCCAGTGGGGGTGTCACAGGGATTCGCCATGTTCTGGCCCGTTGCCTGCCGTTGCCGTTTGTGGGGGTGTCCCCAGGATGCGTACTTCTCTTGGAAAAACGGCTGCAGAGACGCTCGGCAGCATGGCGCTCCTCGGTAGAGGCGATCCAGCGGTCGGTTGTTCAATTAATTCTCACCCAGCAAACTTGCATCTCATACTTTATTCTACATTGATTGCGCCACATAGCGTACACCGCATAGCTCACATCACATTGATTGCACCACATGGCCTGCACCTTGTAGCTCAATCCAAATCGAATGCACCACAACCGTATAGCTCACATACCGTAGCTCACATCACTACACTGCACCACATGGTTTACACTGTATAGCTCACACCACATATACTGCAGTGCGTTGTACCACTCGGATTGCACCACATAGCTTACACAACATAGCTCTCACCACATAGCTTGCACCACATAGCTTACAGCACATAGCCCAGACCACATCGATCGCATCACACAGCTGAAGCGGCATAGCTCACATCACACACATGGCACCACAGATCAGAATGTGCCATGCATCTTGCACCCCACAGCTGACACCAAATAGATCTTGCTACACTGCCTGCACATTCACAGGGCAACAGCTCATTGTTTGGGGTCCTTGCTGGCAGACGTCCTTGTCGTCAGGGAATCTGGTTGGTGGTTCCGGGTCTTCGCCTGGAGGACGCCTCGTATTGGCCGGGAGTTGGGGTTTTCGCGTGGTGGGCGCCTCGTAGCCGCCTCGTGGTCGCCTCGCTCGTAGTGGCTGGGAGTTCCGGGCTTGCGGCTGGAGAGCGGTTCTCGCTTGGTGGGCGCCCGTGGACGGCCTGCGGCCGCTTCGCACGTTGGCTGGAGCTCCCCGGCGCAGGCATCCCTTGCACCATTCGGGGCTCAAGATACAGGGGTCAGTGCAAACAGGGGTCAGCCAGGGCACCGGATCCTGCAGGATCCTGCGAAGGCCCCCTCTGGCTGACCCGGGTTCGCGAGCCGCTCGTGGCCGCGAGGCGGCTGCGCATCTAGGCTGACCCGGGTTTGCGAAGCCTTGCGTTGCAGTTGTTCTCCTGCATTGCAGTTTTTCGGATTCCTGCCGACCCAGGTCTGATTGACCCGGGCAGACCCCCGAACTGTTTTGATCGCGCAGCGTATATAACATTTAAACTACACTGCAGCGGCTGCACTCAATATATTCCATCGCACGCATTGCACCCCAAAGGGTGCACCACATAGCTTATACCACACATGTTGCGCCACACATGTTGCACTACGTGTGCTGGAGCACATTTTTCGCCTCTCCTAAAGAAGATGAGATTCTACCCCGCGTGCCGAGGCTGGACGTTACGTTCCTCCTTGGGGCACTGGCTTGTTTTAGCATGTTTCTGCACGAGTGATCATCCTGCGAACGGAGGTGTGCCATCCCAGCCAAACAGGTACCGACTTCCCCGTAAGACCTGCCTATCCATACCATGCGGTGAACACGCGTGGATCGAACGAGCGCGCGTTGGAACTTAAATGTGCCAAATATTGCTGTTCGTGCCACGCTCCCGCGTCCCCCGCGCGCGCATGCCGGAATCATGCCAACGCCGGTGGTGATTTAAGCATGTTGAAGCCAGCGTTGTACGGAGCAAACATCCCAGCACATGTTAGCCCATGTTTTGCGCGTTCGTTGTATTTTCTACTGCACTTGCCTGTCATCCCTGTCAAACCAAGCCAAGTGGGGCACACGCGCACGGCCCCGCGCGCGCATATCAACAACTGTGAAATGCACCGCGCGCGTGCCGAATTCGTCGCCCCTAAGCTAAAGCGTCCGGCCGCCAATCCGCGCGCGTCGAACTCTTTTCAAAACCTTATCACCAACGCGAGGACGCCGTCATCGTCGTCGGGCGTGATCAGCATCGTCGCCGTCACCGGCCGCGCCGTAGCCGTGGTCATCATCGCCACCAGCGTCGCTACTATCCTCATCGCGTATACCACTGTCGACGTTGCCATGATACCGCGCCCGCCCAAGCCGACGACCCGCACTGATGTGCCCGCTGGGAAGTGCCCAGAGGTTTGCGCCACCGCGGCCGCGTCGGTCTCGCCAAACTAGCTGGCCGCGGCGCGCGCGAGCATGCCTTTCTGGCGCGGCCGCAGGGGTCCACCAGCCAACACCAACTATTCATCGCAATCGCCGCCGCGTGCGCTTTGCAGAACAGGTTGCGGGTGGGTCGATTGCGCGAGCAGTGGATTTGGCAATTGCGAGCTCCACAAGTCAATTCTCCTTTCTAAAAACAGAATAGGATCTACCCCCCCCCGGCGTTATCATTTCCACTTTTGGATATGTAAATCGTATATGATTATGACCACATGTCCATCCTAAATATGAAATCGCAATGTCAAATGCCAACCGGTATCCCCCCCCGAGGCTCCCGTGTAAAAAAGACTATGCGGTGACATTTTTTGTTCTAACATAGCACTGTTTTGCGAATCCCTTGCAAAAAGTGGGACGAAGTGCACACGCGCGCGCCGTCGCACGCGCATGCCGAAATCCTTCAAAAACCTGCGGTGCCGGAAGGATTTCGCAATCGAGGTGTCAAAAAACATACAAACACACAGGGTTTCAGAACACTGATTTGCTAAAAACGTTTCCGCGCGAGCTCTTGCGAAATTTTAAGGAAACCATTTGTTCTTCAACATTTTCAAAACATGCTATTAAACGGGCGTCGCGCGCGCGCATGTCGAAATCTGTCGAACGCCCTTGCGCGTGTGCCGTCGCGAGAATCCTCTGCAACAAATGGGACGAAGTGCAGACGCGCGTGTCGTCGCGCGCGTATGCCGAAAACCTTCCAAACCCAGCGGTTTCGGAAGGATTTCAAAATCGTGTCTCCAAAAAACATACAAAAACACAAGGTTTCGCAACACGGATTTTCAACTAAAGCGTGCGCGCGTTCTTGCGTCGTCGTCGTCGTCCTCCCTCTTCTCTCGTCGTCGTCGTCGCCGTCGTCGTCTTCTGTCTTTCCTCGTCGTCGTCGTCGTCGTCGTCTTGGAGTCGTCGTCGCTTCCGTCGTCTTTGTCGCCGTGGTCGTCTTTCCTCCCTCGTCTTCTTCGTCGGCGTTTCGTCGTTGTCCCTCCTATTTCGTCGCCGTCGTCGTCATCGTCGTCGTCTTCACTCCTCCCTCGTCGTTATCCTCATCCCTCGTCGTCGTCGTCGTCCGTCGTCGGCGTCTCGTCGTCGTCCCTCCTAATTCGTCGCCGTCGTCGTCGTCTTCGTCGTCGTTGTCGTCGTCGTCGTCTTCCCTCCTCCCTCGTCGTTGTCGTCGTCGGCGTCGCCGTCCTTCCTCCTTCTTCGTCGTTCGCGTCGTCGCCGTCTTCCCTCATCCATCGTCGTTGTCGTCGTTGTCGCCGTCGTCGTCCTCCCTCCT